TTCATATTATTACAAAATATCTTCCTGAAAAATACTTAATTGGTTTCAAACAAAATTTATAAAATTATCACTTAGGCCATACAAAGCCAGAAGAAATTACTGTATGGAAGTAACAATGTGAAAATATTTTATGATTTTTACTAAATACATTAAGGGTCAGTAAACTTTTTCTGTAAAGGGTCAGATATTTAGTATTTTAGGTTTTTCAGGCCATAGGTCTTTGTAAAAAATGGAAAAAGCAGTGAGGACTGTACATAAACAGGCAGCAGGCTGCCTTTGGCCTGCAGACAGTAACTTACTGATTACTGATATAGATCACCAATAACCATAACTGTATCATAAAAAGTCAGTTTTTTTAAAAGTTCTAATCTTTTATTTTCACAATGACTAAAATTGGTCCTCCGAAAATAAAAATTCTGTTCCTGTTTGGTATCACCCATACCAATGCCAAAGGCACACTTTGGGACTCAGTCACCATCAATATGAAGAGGAGTAGATTTCCCTTTTCTCCCCTCCTGATTATTCTTTCAAATCCACTTTTTCCTCAGGTATTAGGTGCTGAGCCTTCCTCATGAATAACATGTCATAGCCATTTCTCCCTTTCCTAACTCCTTTACATTTATTGTATTAAGCCTGTACACCACTCTATACCCTGTCAATATAGAATCCTTTGCAAAAAGTAGGATACTTTTAGTAAATAATTTAGAGCCTCATATATTTTTGATAGGCTAAATTTCTTACGTGTGAGTTTGAAATTAATTTTAAGTAGAATGCAAGTTTCTTGTGGCCAAAGACTGTGGCTTCTTTTTGTTCTTTTCCTCTTTTCTATCTCTTCTTTCCCTCCCCCACTTCTCCTTCCTTCTTTCTTTCTTTCCTGTAGATTAGAAACTATTCCACATCCTCAAGGATGCCTAGATAAGGTGTTATGTTTGTTTCAGGGATAGGGAGATTATGTTCAATCAGGGGTTGGAGAGTTAGTCAGAGAATGTCTGTGGAAAGAAGACATTTAAGTTCCTCCTTAAAGATTATGAAGAGATAAGAAGGGGATTTAGGCATAGGAACTGTATGACTAATGATACAATAAAAGGCCAGTGTGGGATGATTAAAGAATCGCTCATTTTTGTCAGACTAGAAGACATGGAAGAGAATGCTAGAAAACCATGGCATAGAGGACCACAGGGCCAAGAAGCTAAGGAGTTTGGTCTGTATTCTATTACCACTGGAGAGCAACCTAAGGTGTGGGGACAGAGTGTTTATTTGATTTAAGCTGGGCTTCAGGAAGATTAACTTAATATGGTGGGTGTAATGGAAATCTTGAACTAGAGAAAAGACCAGGAACATGGAAATGGAGGATGCATCTAAAGTGATAGAATGTAGAATCATAGCACTTTACTGTTGATTAGATATGGGGCACAAGGAATAGGAAGGAGGAAAATATGTCAGTGACATTTTGATACCTGGCAGTTTCAAAACTGCCAGAGGAGGACGGTGCTGTCATTCACATAAATAATGAATAGAGAAGGAGGAACAAGTGTGACAGAGATGATGCCTTGAACTTCTTAAGTTTTCAGTAACAGTAGTTTACTAATCTACCATTATATTGATAAAGATAATATTCCTTTGTTTTCTAACAATGACACAAGAACTTAGAATTGCATGCTTAATTGTACATTTTAATTGTAAATAATATTACAACTTATGTTTGTAACAGAACAAAGCATAATTATGACCTGGGATTCTCTCTGCATTGCAAGAGTTTAGAAGTGGCGATAAACTTTAATAGGCCAAGATGAGGAAACTGAGTCTCTGAGAGGCTGAGGGACTTCACTGTTAATGCCTCATATTTAGTTAGTGACAGAACAAAGACTAGAACGAGTTTCCCTGATGGCCAGTGGTGTGTTTAGTTTCTTATTTGAAGTCAGAAGGCAAAATGAAGGCCTGAAAAGTTCAGCTGTGGTAACCATTCTATGCTGTACTATAAGTGTCTTGGTATTTGTTGGAGGAGGAAGAATATATTGCCTTGCCTGCCATTTGTTTATAAGATACACCATTCTCTTTAAAATGAAATAAAAACTGTCAAGTAAATGTTTACTGACACCCCTGTTCTTCTACTTGTTTCCTTTCATTATAAAAGTAATATTCTTATATCATAAAAATTAAAGCAATAGATTATTAAAACAATACAAAGAAACAGTTTTCTCTTAGATATAACCATGCTTAATGGTAGATGAAGGTCCTTTTAGGTTTTGGTTAACCAAACACGCATCCTGCCTTTCCCCTATTCACTTCCACTCTCCCCATGTTGGCCGGCTGGATATTGATGCTCAAGACAATATTAAAAGCCATGTTGCTAAAGAGACTATCAGCCTGGATCCCTGAATGACTATGTGGAGCACAACTGTAGCCTGGATGTTAACTAAGCAAGAAATAAATCTCTACTATGTTAAGTCACTGAAATTTTAGGGCTTATTTATTTCAGCAACTATCATAACCTTAGAGGATCACTCTGTTGTGACTGGAGTGAACTAGACATTGACTATTTTCTAGCATTAAATAATACTATAGAGAAGTTAAAGAATCTGATTTGTTGTCCCTGATTTGTGACTTGCTTATTATACATAAAGTTATCTCAGCCATCCCAGAAATGATTATGCTCTTGACAATGCTTCCATCAATGTCATTCATAAGAATATAGAATTATTTTTTTTTGAAATTAGCTATATCATATAAAACATGCAGAATGTCTTTTTAAAGTTGAGATAAAGAGTTATCTTAAAACAAAAAGCCTATATTTCCCTTTGTGGAATTTCTTCTTCCCACCCCTGAAATGCAAATCAGACTAGCCAACAGTATATGTACACATTTGTATGAAGGCAATATGAATATTACCAAGATAAACCAGCTCTGTTGATTTGACTGCACATCCTTTGAAATTATATATATAATATGCTTATATATATACATACATATATATATATCCCTGCCAAACCTTCCTAGAAGTTTAAAAGTCAAGTCATTTCTGGCTTCATCCATGTGTTTTAGAAGGTATATTTAGAATTCATGTGTTATTGAGTGAAACTCAAAAACTTACAAAGAAATAACCTTTTTTCAGATCTAAGGAATTTTAGTGGTTGAGGAAATTTCAAGCCAGATTCATTGCAGTTTAAATCCAATTTTTTTTAGTAGGGTATATATGGAGAATATATGCACTTCAAAACATTTCTTTATGTATTCTGTTTTTTACTGAGTCCAAGATGCATAGAGTCTAAAGGCTCCTCCTTAAAAATTGTTGCTCTTCTTGACTCAGGATAAAGTACAAAATTCTGAGTGTGGTGTATATGTTTTTCTTGTTCAGGCTTTTGTTTACCTCTCTACTCTATGTTTCTTCTGCTATGCATGTTACGTTCTATGCACCAGCCACTCTGAATTCCCTTCAGTTTCTCCAGTGTGCTGTGATCTCTTTACCTCCAGCCTTTGTACATACAGTTCCTGCTACCCAGTGCTCACTTCTCCTTATCAACTGCTTTTTCTTAGCTTACTTCTACTCAATCTTCAGGTCTTCGCTTAGGTGTCCTTTCTTCCATGTAGCCTATCCCAACCACTCACCAAGACCAGGTAGGGCGAGCTTCCTGTCATCAATACTTTATTCTTTATCAGAACACCTCACACATTATATTATCATTCAAGTTCAGTGCTTGGTGAACTTCTTTAGATTGCAGTATCAGTAAGGTCAGGGTGAATTGTTTTAACAACACTAAACCTAATGCCTAATCTAGTACTTGAAACATAATAGGTGGTAAGAAATATTAATGAAGTGTTATTGAATCTAGCATACCTCTTATCTGATGTTCTAGTCTGCTGCAAGATAAAGAAGGTAATGTTACTGACCCACCAAACATGTGATGCTCATCTAGAAACTCATTCCCAAGGTTCACTTGAGGCCAAAAATCTGACGTGTTAAACAGCTGGGCGTGAGGCATGGTTTACCTTTGTACAGTAAATACCTATATTCAGTGACCAAATTCATGACACTGAACTCATTACTCTTAAGCTCTAACTGATATAGGATAATAGAGACTAACTCTGTGAAGTGATGTAAAAGGATATAAACACAATTCAGAAAACAAACCTGTTTCTGATTTTGATAATGTAAGCTTGCAAGATCTGTTGCCTCTGATCTGGAGAAGCAGGAAAAACAATCCAGCAGCTGCAGCAAACCAGACCCGAATTCTCTGCCTCCCAAGGCATCTCTACTCAGCAGCACACCTGCCGGTTGGGGAATTCCTCTTTGAACTAATATTTGATTTGGTCCAGAACACTTTGCCCTCTCTCAAAGGTGGTTCTTGGCATTGATCTCCCTGTTCTCTTCTTAAATGTCATCTTGTATTTCTAATCACAATCTTCCACTCTCACCTTCTTTCCTCAAGCTTCACTTTTGCCTTATTGTAGGCAGTCCTCTGCATTCCCAGGTCTGAGACCTCTGGCTCCTGTCATTCCCACCGCCATCGTCAATGTTCCTGGCTGACTCAAGACCGCAGGACATGACCCTCAAATACCAGAGCATCCAGGAGGATTTAGGACATCCAAGTATGGGAGTGGGCTGTGTAGGGAGAGGGAAGGTTTGCCTATTACTATTTCCATGGCACACATGAGTGAGAAGAACTAGGGAGACTGAGAAAATGGCAGTGTGGCAGATGGGAAGTTTCTAAGGCGATAGACGGATGCAGAAATGGAGAAGCCCTGAGCCCCACCCCACAGCACCCTCACTCTGCCAGCACATTCTTCTCATGGGAATGGGCAGAGAAGCTTTTTCACAGGGTATTTGCTGGGATCAGCTTACCACAATGTATTGTTGAGAGTCTTCAGGACAAAAGAGGGAATTTAAAACCAAAAACATCAGTGCTTCTGGTTTCTTTATACAGATATCACATGTGCAAATGCCCAGCAACCCTTGGCTGCTTTCTTACCTTGTGTGACTGATAATACTGGAAGGCACCAATTCCACCTTGTTCTTCTGCAGTCCAGAGCACCAAACGCAGAGTCCTCTTGGGACGCAGCCCTGGGAAAAATAATAAAGTAAGTGATTCTTCAGTTGATTTTAAATTTCTAAAAAATGGCAAGGGCCCTTGTCTGCATTCTGGAGGTAGAAACGAATCAGAGGCACATATATTTATCTCTTGCTGTTGTGGCTGCTTAATTCAGAGTATGGCTGACAGAGCAAAGCACCCTCAGGGCTGATTTCCAGGACAGGTTAATGGAGAAGTGGGTGGTGTAAATGCTGCCTGCAGGCCAGGAAGTGAGAGCCTCTAACCATATCCTTAACTGGACAACCTGTACAGCAGGGCCTAGTGGATGGCCAAGTTCAGTGGGATGGGATGTTAGATCTCACAGAGGAGGTGCAGATAGGGGGATTCTAGGTGGGTCATGGGGCCGTCCAGTGATTAATTAAAAATACAGTTACTTGGCTCTACTACAAGGTAAGGTAGGTTGGGGATTGCTTCTTAGTCTAAATCTACAAGTATAGCTAGTTGTCCATGCTATCCTCAGTAATGTAGTGACGAGGAAGTAGATGCAATATTTATGTTTACTCATGGTCACTTTCCTCTCCTACTTGGAACTGTATGGCCATTCACTTAAGGTCAATGAAAATAAACTGAATGAGGCTGCCATTTAATTCACTTTATTACTGCACAAATAGTTTGGTGGCAATTTCATTGACTTGGGAAATACAAATTTATACTGGGAGTTATTAAAGTTACTGGCATATTGGACTATCCAGACCATTTATGAGTGACTATGTGTGCTCAGTAAAAGTTAACTATGAGGAAGCTGTTTCCCAAACTTGACAACACAATATGCTACAAGTCCCACTTTGTGAACAAGAATTGAGATCTGTTTTGATTTGGACCTTGTAATGTCATTTCAGGCTCATAACACAAGCAGAAAAACAGGAAGTTGGGCTGAAATCTTATTAAGAGGATCCATCCTCCTGCCTCACCACAGGAGAGCTATAAAGAAAGATGCTGAGTGGCTCTGAGATGGACACACTACAGATCTCAAGTATAATCTCACAAGTGTAACCACCCAGGCATCGGGCCTTCGAGGGAAAAGGCTGGTGGACTGAAGCCTGGACAAATGTTCCTGGTAAATGGAGCTCTGCCGGCCTCGTCTGGGCACCAACAAATATTGTCCTTTCCTCGGCCTAAGGCTAAGGAGATGAAAAGGGGCTACATTTTTCACTAAATGGAATTTTGTTGTGGAGCCACTTTGCACTTGCACATTTTAACATAATTACAGGAGCACAGGTTTAGGATGCAAGCTGATCTGAGCTCCAATTAAAGCCTAGAAAAGTAAGTCCCACATCCAGTTGCTTAGCAAACTCCATTGGTGTTTTCTTCTAAGTCTATCTAGAATCCAACTTCTCATTCTGCTACCGCTCTGGTCTGAGTCCCCACCCCCTCTTTCCTGGCTTATTGCAGGCACCTCCTAACCAGTTTCTCTGCAGCAGCGCTTGCCCCTCTGCAGGGAATGCTCCCCACTGCAGCCAGAAGGACCCTCACAAAACATAAACCCAATCACATTATTTCTCTCCTCAAACCTCCAACTGCTAGGATGTAAGCTTCTAAAAGCAGGGTTTTATGCTTTTTGATGCACTATGATACCCTCTAGTGCCTAGACTATTTGGCACATATCAGTGCCCAATAAATAGGTACTGACTGAATGAAAAAAGCTAGGTGTCTCACTTGGAATAAAGTTCACAGCCCTCCACCACTCCTCCAGCCTCATCAACTAAACCTCTCCAGCCAGCTTATTCCCAGGCAAGCTGTTACAGTTGAAAAAGGCAGACAGAGATGGTGAGCCCTGCATGATTAGGCACCAACTGTATAACAATTGAGAATTGATCTACCTGAAATTCAGCCTCCTCATCTGAAAAGTGGAGGGAATATTATATGCTTTTGTTGTAACTATTTCATGGCATGGTTATGAGGATTAAATGAGACATGATCATTTAAGACAGCCCTGTGCCTGGCATGTTAATAGATATCAATAAATGAACTATATAAAAGTACATAATGAATATCCAAGCACAGAGCACACACTTTTACCCCCAGAGAGAAGAGGCATCTAAAGACTCAGAGATGAAGTTCTTCCAAAGACATTCAAGTGCCTGCTGGAAAAGAATCCTGTGGTGCCCGCACGCACTCCAGTCAAACCATCTCCATCTGCTCACGTTTGTAGCACAAACTGAAACTGTTGCTGGAGGAAGAAACCTCATCAGTATATCTAAAGATCATAATCTTTGTTTTCTCTAAAGGAAATGTGCTTAATGTCAATTTAAAGCCAATGACATTTTGCTTGCAACACAAAGAAAAATAAGGAAAAGTACTGCAAATGAAAATTCTGAACATTTTCTAGAATCCATAAAAAAGGAAAAAATACTTTCTTTTCACATATCTCTGTACCTACTAGAAACACTGTACCAAATTATTTAAATGATGGAATTCTCTAAGGAAAGAGGGACAGCACAGGTTAGGGAAAAATCATTTTTTATAAGCAAATGAATATACCTATAGATATGGTGTTCCATTGAGAATCGTTATCGGACAGGATTAGTCTCCTTTACATTTCAAATCAGCCAAATGGCCAATCATGTTATATTAAGATAATAAAGAAGTAATCAGTTTGATATGAGGAATGTTAAAGCCTCCAATCAACAACAGCATAGCCATGGTGCATAGCTGGCTCTAGAAAGACAAACAGAGCCTCCTTTAAATTCGTGAGAAACTTTGTACCCCTGTGTCTTGCCAATGGGTTTCACCCCCAGGCAAGTTCCCTATGGATTCAATGTGACTAAAGAAATTGACAGCAAAACGTTCTTGGGGTGAAAGGGTTATACCCAACTTTATTTCCAGATGGCAGGTCAGTCACTAAAATCCCATTCACTCAGAGTGAGTCTGCATGCAAGCTGGGCTCTCCCCTTGCCTCTGGGCCCCTCTGTCTGCACAGCCATCCTACACAGCCATCCCCTGGGCCTCTGTCCTCAGTGCTGGCACTATGCCAGCCTCTGCTCTGCTCTCCTGCAGCCTTGCAGCCCTGCCACCATGTTGCACCCAGAGCACTGGGCAGAGCTCTTAGAGTCAACAGCCATGTACTGCCCACAGGTGTGCAGTGAGCTAGTCAACCAGGGCCAGGTGAGAATCCTGGCCCCAGGGACTCTCATTTTATCCACACTCCAACTCTCCAGGATTCTCTCCTCTCAATCTATGTGCCCTTAGTCCTCTGCAATGGTCCCTGTGCAAGGAAGCTCGAACATTGTTCTCCAGCCTCTCCAGCCAAAAGTCTTGCAGACACACAGGCCGGACTCGTGGCTCTGTCTCTGACCTCTGCCTCTTTGGTCTTAATGGCTGGAACTGCTGCTCTGGTTTCAGTTGTTGCCATAGCTCCAATAAGATCCTATTTGGCTTCCAGTCTAATTTCCTTCCATCTACTCCTGCCTGTGTTAAATCAACCCACATCTGGCTCTTCATAACCTTCATGGGTCCCTTAAATTCTTCTTGTGAGTCACTCACATTTTGTAATTGCTGCCTCAAGGCAGGCTGCACTGTCAGGGAAGACAGCTTTCCCATCTCTGATCCCAACAGTACAATTCCATCCACCCCTAAGTCCCACAGCCACTGGCTCAGCCTGAGTATAGGGGTGGACCATAGAGTGCTCCACGACCTGGAGAGGGGGCTGCTCCTCTCCTTGGGGAACTTTCAGCTGCTGGGTCTTTATGTTCTTTACAACCACTGGGCATGCTTTGAATACAGGAGGGGCCAGTGTCTGCAGCACCACCCCTTCATCCTTCCCTTGCTCGTCCATTTCTGGGGCTGATGGCACCTTTCTCTCCACTCCCCCAAGTGCCTCCTCTGTTACAGTGCCTCTCAGCAATGCTAGCTTGGTGTTCAGAAGCCCCCTTACCTTCACCTCAATGCTTTGCAGCTGATGTTCTCATGCCACCTCTGCCTGTGCTTCCCTCAGGAGCTGGTCCCTTTCCCTGATGGCCTCTCCCTCCTTCAGAACACCTGGCAGCGCTGCCGTCTCTTGAGGTAAGTACTTGTTTACCACTCCAAAGGCACCTTGCTGTTGGTGCTCTCATGCTGCCTCCTATTGCATCAGTGCCATCTCCTTCTTCAGGGAATCCACAGAAGTTTGCAGCTCGTGTTCTCATGCCACCATTTCTTGGGTCTCTTCTGTAGACCTTTTTAATACTGTGAGAAGCAGCCAACCCACAGTCCCCGCTGCCTCACGGGCACTCTGCTTCTCAAAGGATCTGCTTACTATACCAAGGGCCACCCCTACAGCCTCAGATGTCACCTCCACTTGCCTCCAGTTCTCGGGTGGGGCCTGGTCCTCTAGGAGTCAAGCCACCTCAGACCACATACCCATTGGGGGATGATCCACTGTCTCCCCATTCACAGAGGCAGCCCGCTGAAGCACTCCTCACATAAGGGCAGCCTGTCTTTTTCCTTGGTCAACAATGAACTCTGCCGACTTTCACCAATTGTCTTGCAAATGGATTTCAGCCCCTGTGTCCAGCAGAGCCAGGACACATTGTATGTTCACTGGGGACCAATGGATAGCTATTTCAACATGTGGCCTCTGGTCCCCCTTGGTCCCTCAGGACAGATACCTTGACCTTGCCCTCGATCAAACCATGTTCCCCAGTCACCTTCCTGTGTGGGCTCAAGTGAGGTTGGCTCATTCTCAGGCAGAAAGTCTTCATGCAGCAAGCTGGTCTCTCCCCTTGCCTCTGGGCCCTTCTGTCTGCACATCTGTCCTCTGGGCCTCTCTGCACAATTGTCCCACACAGCCACCCTCTGAGCCTCTGTCCTCAGCAATGCCACCACTCTAGCCTCTGCTCTGCTCTCCTGCAGCCTTACAGCCATGCAACTGTCTAGTGCACAGAGCACAGGGAGGAGCTCTTTATATAGAGTCAACAGCCATGTATTGCCCACAGGTGTGCAGTGAGCTAGTCAACTAGGGCCGGGTGAGAATCCTGGTCACAGGAACTCTCATTTTATCCACACCTTGAGAGGAAGCAGTAAGCACAGTGGTTAGACACATGGGTTTGGGGATCAAGACATATCTCCACCTTGGGTGAGTTCCATAATTTGTCATACAGCATATAAGCACATTATCATTGTTTTTTTAAATAGGGCATATGGTTAGACAAAGATTAATTATTTTAGTAAAGCAAATTGCAACTACTCCTCTTTATAGACAGGAAGAGAAATTCACTTTGAAGAAGATCTTTTGTTTTTGAAAAAAATCACTTTTGGTATTTTTCAGTGACGTGAGTTAGGCCCTTGGCCCAGGCTTTGGGACCCAGCAACAAACTGTTTTGTAAATTCCATCTTGTAAGCTACTCCTTCTTGAGCCATCTGGAGGACTGACCTGGACCCTGGGCAGGAGGTATATCGGTGTCAGGGCCTTCTGAGAGGAAAGCCCTAGTGCCCTCAGCCTTGCTTCTGTAGCTGGGGGGCTGGGGATGAGAGACCTGTTTGATCAGGGTGACAGACAATGACCAAGATCCTGGGACAGGGAAGATCCTGGGAGCCACTAAAATAAAGTAATCCTGATAAATGGAGGAGCCTGGGCTGTCAACCTTGCTCAACACAGTGGCCTAAGGTTCTAGGGGAAGGGCTAATTTCAGCCTAGCATGTGGCCAACTGCAGAAGTTCCTTCAAATCCAGCCACCCTGACACAAAGGTCATGATTTAGGGAGCAACAGATGAGCATGGGAATGTAAACAGGGAGTTGTAACCTCATTGCTCCAAATCAGCACAGCTGTGATTTAGGGGAGCAAACGATGTTCTGCAAAGCCAGAGGGAAAGCAGCGACAGGTGGAGTCAGCTACAGGTTTCTGGAAGAGGACTTGATCTATTCAGCCTGGGTAAGGTCCTGGATTCATAGACAATCCAGAGGGGAAGGACCTGGAGAGGAGGTAAATAGACTTCCGGTAATAAGGCCTGTGGAGGATGATTAACTATAAAGGAGATTAAAGAGACATAATCTTATTTATAACCTATGTTTGTGGAACAGGTCATTAACAGTTATAATTTCCATAATTCAAAGAGAACAGTCCTACCTCATTATAGTGATTAGGATTCAATTAGCCAGGAAAATCACAGTTAATCATTGCTGAAGTATAACATTGTGACTACCAGTGTGTGAAGGCCATTTTTGGCCCTAACTCACCTTTCTACTCTCATCTCTTGCATCTTCCTCTCATCCTAAACTCCAGCCACATCATGTTTCCTACCAGTCCTGAACATGCCATGCTATCCCACATTTTTGGTCTTTTGTATATGTTCTTCTTCTTATCTAGAATGCTCCTTCACCTTTTCCATTTGGCAAACTCCTGTTCAGTCAACAAAGCCCATCTCTAATACCACTTTCTCTGGGAAGGCTCCCCTAACTCTAAGGCAAAGCTGGCTACCCCTCTGTCAGTGATTCTCCAGAAATTCATAAATACCTCTATCTTCATTTTTAGCCACACTTAAATGTTGATTTACCCATAGACCATTAATTTTCTGACACTCCTTTCTCATTCTCATAATCCTTGTCTAGTAACTGACATGTAACAGGTGCTGAATAAATGCTTATTGACTGACTGAATGAATAAATATATTCATAAACATGTAAATAAAAGTGACTGTTTTTCATTTAAAGCACATTAGTGCCTCCTCAGTTCAGAAAGTTGGTAAAATAATCTATTTCGTGGAACCAAAGCCCAAATAACAGAAGTAAAATCATCCTAGCAGCCTAGATAATTAGATGTGCTTCAGTATCAACATTTGCTTCAGTTACTATTGCATTATAGCACAGATGGATCTAGTCAAAATTTAGCACATCAAACAGCTCTTGTTTATCAAGACATTAAATAAATATGGCCACAGAAACCTTTCATCAGCTAATTGTATTAAATTATAGGTATTTGCACTTTAAACTCTGACAGCTCTCTTTAATTTTTTACTTTGACATTTTTTCTGATTATATAAATAGTATATATCCTCTGTAAAATTGAAAATTAAGGAGAACAATAAAAAATCAGAAAACAAAAGCAACCTATAAGCATATTATAATATTTCTTTATTTTTGTGTGCATGTAATTGTATACATACATAAAAAGTAACATTTTATACATAGTTTTATACTTCTTTTTCCACTTTTCCAAAGTTATGACACATATGGCCTTTAACCTATTATAATCCATAATTTTCAAGAAAATGCCTCTATTTTCTTTAGAAATTCCCTTATTGCTAGACATTTAAGGTTTTTATCCTTAGGACAGTTCTTAAAAGTAGAAACACTGAGTCTAAATGGTATAAATGTTTTTAGGACACTTGAAACATGTCACTAATGCCCAAAAGAAGGGCTACCAATTTATATTCCCACCAACATTATATGAGAATACTCGCTTCTACTTAATGTGGAACTTTTTCTTAAATCTCCCTATTTTGATATGTATCAATATGCTATATCAATTTTCCATACTACATTCTATTCATTTTTAGCCAAAATAATTACATACACATGCACACTGAATTTGTAGTCTTTTTTGACTTGACTGAGACAAATGTTAAGTTTATATCTGATGCCGCCTTTGAGTTAAAATATGTGAATTTGTTTTTCTTATTTAAATTGCCTGATAATGGAACTTTTCCATTAATATATTTCTAAGATAATGATAGTATCATGTAGGGCTTACATGCCTGATCTAGTTGGAGTTTGAAAACATACTATTTATTTTTCCTTATCATTAGGTGTTTTATCTGCAAGGAGAAATTGAGAAGCCTGATTAATGATAGATTTGAACTCTCAATCACACTTCTGTTAAGAGTTTTACCTTGCAAAAACATCAAAAGGGAAAGAGTTACATAAATAGTACTATTTTAAAGAGAATGTGGAAAATCAAGACTTCTCTTACAAATTCACATTCACCAATATGGTTCTTTACATTTTATTTCTTATGAAGATTACACTGTGTGAGGAAGAATGCGTGTTTGTACTTGAATCGATGATTATCAGAAAGTAATATATCTCCAACAAGCAACTGAGATGAGAAAATTTCTGGGATCCCTTTCTAATACCAAACAGCAGATATGAAGCATAAGTTGTTTTATAATGCAGGAGCTGATTCCGTTGACTCTTTCAAGTGCTCCTTTTTATAGTTATGGGGGAGAGGAGGTTATGTAAATTTTTAAAGATTTTCCTTGTTTTTAAAATTATTTATGAGGTTATCTAAATTTGTTTTTGACCAATAATTAATCATAATCTTCATTCTTGGTTTCATTGAAGCTTAAGTTTTCAGGCCACAACACATTTGGTCATATCAATACTTCTTTTGCAATCATTTTTTTTTTTTTGCGAGGGCATCTCTCATTTATTGATCAAATGGTTGTTAACAACAATAAAATTCTGTATAGGGGACTCAATGCACAATCATTAATCAACCCCAAGCCTAATTCTCAACAGTCTCCAATCTTCTGAAGCATAACGAACAAGTTCTTACATGGTGAATGAATTCTTACATAGTGAATAAATTCTTACATGGTGAACAGTACAAGGGCA